CCCACCCCTCCTCCCCCACACATACGAGAGGGTTGCCTCGCCCCGCCTGCATTCACCAAACGGTGTGCGAGTGTCTTCCCTCCTCGCCTGTCATTGTCAGTCTCGGGGCCAATTTCACGTGCGGTTTAGTTTTGATTCTGAGCGCCGCGGGGTGGGGCGCGGCGCAGTGGGGCAAAGGGCCAGACGAGGGTCAAAAGCTAGGGTGTGAAAGGAGAGAGTGCACGGAATACAGACTTTTGTCGTGGTGATCAAGCGCTTGCTCGATATAGGTTTGAGTCAACAGCTTCAACGAAAAATCCGAAAGCAGAAGTTAGTTGTCGTGAAAACAAAAATCCACCCAGGTCATCGTATAAGTGTCTGATAGTAGCAACCATAGCAACTGGTTGTAATAATCGGATTTTCGATCGCACAGTTCTACTTATTTAACCTTTCAGACAAAGTCCGATCACCAGATCAAAGTATTTTTCCCATGTGTGTGTATAGAAGAGAAATGCATAAGGTGTATGAGTGTGTGGAAAAGGAAACATGGGGAGAGAGAGGAGAAGGAGAGAGAGGAGGGACGGAGGGAGAGAATGACAGAAAACGAGAGCAAATTAGTAAGAGAGAGAGAGTGGGGAGGGTGAGACGAGAACAGAAAGAGCGAAAGAGGGGGAACAGGGGATGAGTATAAAACGCATCACTTGATTTTCCAAGCCGTCAACTGCAGGCAGTGGGCGGGCGGGTCGCGTGGCTGGGGGGTCGGGAGCGCTGAAGCCACGAGCCACTCGACCTAGTGCGGGAGGAACCACAACAACGACGGCGTCCTGACGCCCCCTCGCCTCGCGCTCGACGGCGACGTGCTGGCGCGGAGCCGCGGCCGCGTGGCCCGGCTATTGGCCGCCGCGGTACGGCCGCTAGCGCCGTCCAGGCCGCGTCCAGCCGCGTCCAGCGCCTCCCGCTCCCGCGCGGCCAGAGCGGCAGAGGCGGCGCCAACGCCGGCCGCGCCGCGCGGAGTGGGGGCAGCAGCCCGGCAGCCTCGGGACGCGGCCGCCAGAGCGCGCGCATGCGTGCCAGCGACCGGGTTGCCATGGCGACGTCATGGGCGGCGCGGCGGCGTGGCGCGGTGGGGCGGGCGCGCCGCGAGGAGGCTAGCAGCAGCAGAGGCACCAGCGCCCCGCGACATCACACCCGGGAGCGGCAATCATTACGGCCACACGTTACAATAAAATGCACCATAAAACTGCAATCAAACTGGAATAAAAAGGCGTGATGCAATTGGGTGTACTTACATGAGTTGTACTCGCCGCCCGGTGAGCCGAGGAATACGGATGAGTAGAGGACCCCCCGCCGCGCCGCCTCACTGGCCGCCGCCCGGGCGTCCACGGGCGAGGACCACTCCCGCCGCGGGCACCATTTACCTGCAAAACACAAGAGTGGCAACGTTAGGCGAGAGAGAGCGAAAGGGGTCCGGCCGGCCGGCAGGTGTACCCGAGGGGTATCGTACCCGCTGATTGAAAGGCACGGCCTCAACAGGTCACTAAATCGCGGGTAGGGGCCGCCCCACCCCGCCCCGCCCTGCCCCGCCCCGCCGTAGGACCGGCGCACGGACACAGCCGCGGGCGGCAACGCCAGGACCGGCAGGACGGCCCCAAAAAGATTTATCGCCCTCTAACTGGAAAATGGCGTCGGGGCGGCGCGCGCAGACACCCATGATGACGCCCGTGAGAAACTTGAACGCAGTGCGACCAGGCCAGTCCGGGGCGGGGCGGGGCGGGTGGGGCGGGTGGGGCGGGCCTTCATCAAGACGTGTCGGCGGTGCGACGCCGATCTAACGGCCCGCGGCCCGCCTAGGCCGTCCCTGGTTATTAGCCCGCAGCGCCCCCCGCACTACTCCACCCACACGCCGACCTGTCCCAACAGGGCGTAAATCACCCGCCCGGCCCCGGCCCGGCACGGGCTCGCCTTGTTATGATCCTTTCGCGCGACACTTGTGTCTCGACCACTGTCAGGTCTTCATTACGCGTGAAACGGCGAGGCGGGGCCCGGGGCCCGCGGCCCGCGGCCCGGGGCCGAAGGGGTCGCCGCGCTCGGGTCCCACTCACTCGGGTCCTGCCGCCGGACCGCCGCCGACCTGTCCGGGAATAAAAGCGGGGCGGCCCAATGAATAAATACAATGATAAAAGCGGGGCTGGCGGCCGACACGGATCCTCCATTATTGGAGCAAGTCAAGTCAGATATGAGGACTGGCTCAGGTGCGCCCGGGGCCCGCGGCCGTGTCCGGGCCGGGCCGGGCTGGGCCCCCCGATGCCTGCGATAGCAGCTAAGCGCTCCGGCTCTGCTCAGCAGCAGCGGCGCCCGCCTCAGCCCGCCTCAGCCCGCTTCAGCCGGCCTCAGCCCCGGACGCCATTCCATCACAGCCGCACTCTGCACGGACGCCCCGCCTCGCCTCGCCCCGCCACGACTCGTCGGGCAACCCTTTCACAGAGGACAAAAGCGCCACGGCGGCGGCGGGGCCCAAGTTCCTGGTCGAGCCGGACGCGAAAAGGAAGAGCGGCCGGCAAAGGGCGAGCAGCGCGGGAATAACGAAAAAGAAGAAGGACAAAAAAAACACTACGAAAAACAGGCAGAGACGCCGGTTGGGTTGCCTACCTCCCCGGCGCGCAACGCACCGGAATTGGGCGAAATAATGTAAAATAAAACGGGGCGTGGTGGAGTGTGGCGCGCAGAGCGGGCGCAGCAGAGCAGGGAGTGGGAGTGAGAGGGTGGCGCCGCGTGGCGCCGCGAAGGGCGGGGCTGAGTCAGGGGAGGGGAGCGGCCGCGACAACAGCCCTTCCAATCGTAGGGCGCGTCCCTCCCACCCACCACCCCCAGCCCAGCAGCATGCGCCGGGCTGTGCCGGGCCGGGCGGCAGCAGCTCAGGCACGTCGATACGCCCGTACCGGGCCATACCGAGCCGCTACCGCGGCCGGGCCTCGGCCCCCCATTCCACAAACCACACGACCACATCTCCACAACATTGCTCCAAATTTTATTTCTCGTTTTGCTGCGTTCACTCTCGGCAGCAGCGCTAGCGGCAGGACGAGTGTTTCTAGGTATACAGCAGGACCGCACGCAGCCGTGCCGGTGCGTGCTTGCCTCTGCGAACCGCTCACAGCCTCCCGGGGACCCCGTGAGAGTAGGCAACCCGGCCGCACGCCTGCGCACCGCACAGCCTACCTACACCAAGCACATAACGTGAAATGAATGCCAACGAGGGGTGAATTTCTTCTGAACTCAACTAACGGTTTCGGATAAATTATTTTTCGAATTTTAACCCACTTTTGTCATGTGCTGCTCAACAATAAAGTATATGAACGTTTTACATCATTTTCGAAGAAAACAAACAAATTAAATGATGTCCTTTGAAAACAGACATCTACTCCTCTACTCACTTAATGTGCCCTATCTAGAGAAATGTCTCACCCGCCCTCGACTATCTTCACTGACATGATGTGCGTAAGAAAGGTCGTCATAGTCATTACGGAGAAAAAACTTGGCCGTTTTGAGTTCTTCCTAACCCCGCAAAGGGTGAACGCGACTGCTTTGGAGTTTCGCAGCAATTAAAGTCCAGGTTCCAGTGGCCGTTCATAGAGTCAAGATGGGCGGGGCGGGCGCACGTCTCACCGCCCCTCGCGCCAGAGCGCCCCACCGGCAGCCCCACCCCGCCCGCCCTCCGCTAATCGATCGAGCATCACGAAAACACACACAGCGCGCGGGGCGTACACTGCGACAGAAGAGAGGCTGCCTGGCCACCGCATTCCGACTGTTTACTTTGTCATCCTCCATCCCGCAGGGCATCCCGGAGGGCATCCCGCGGGGCTGCTCGGATGGCCCTGTTAGCCGGAGCGAGGGAGCCGAAAGTCGAAGCCGGGGAGCAGGAGGGAAAGGGGACAACTTTGGGAATAACAGTTTCAATGTCCCAATCCAATCGCCTTCGTCATCTCTCCGCCAGCCCGGCCCCTCCAGGGCCTCGCCAGGCAGTGATGATGGCGATGGCCCTCTGACTTTGTTCTACAGGATTCTTGGCCTATCTTTAGTTTCATCAGTCCCCTTCGAGTGTCTCCGGCTCAGCCGCGCTCAGGCTCAGCTGCACCTCGCCCCCCCCCTCTCCTTCCCCCTCCGCGTACCTGTTCGTCAGTACCCTAACAGGCCGGGAAGGCATCTTATCCCAGCGTTTGACCGGCCCATTCCGGCCCATTGTTAGCGATAGCTGCTTCTTATGGTATCGAGAAAAGAAAGTAGACCATCCATTGTTGCGCCCATGGAGGGCAGCAAAAAAAGGAAAAGAAAAATAAAATAAAAGGGGTTCAACAGAACGATGCAATGCAACGGGGAGCAAACGGCGATGCTCCGCTACAGAAGTACAAAAGCATGAGCAGCAAACCTCCGACTGCGGGTTCCTCCTGCTCCTCTCCCTCTGTCGGGGCCCCACGGCCCCACCTGGGTGACTTGCAGGCCCTGCAGCCCGTCGGGCCCTTGGCCCCCTGGACACACACTTGTTCACCAGCTTATTATAAAGGCATCTTGTCGCGCGGTCCATTACACCAAGGGGGGCTCCTCCCGGGCTCCTCGGCCTCCGCGCTATTGAAAGTGGCGGTCCATGAAATGGCCCTGAAGCACCGCCGCACCCACTGCAGCACGGCGGTCGCCGAGGCGGTCGCCGGCCCCGTTCCGTTAAAACACCTTCGCCACAAAACGATGGTTAAATCCAAATGGTACGGCATTGGTCACGGAGCCGTCATGGACGCCGGGCCACATGGGTGGCTCCACGGCCAGGGGGCCTAGGCCGACCACAACACCAATCATCTTTCTGTACCAAAAGGACCCGCGGTTCTTCTTCTCTGCTGCGGCTGCACAAGTGCGGTACCCAGGCAACGTGGAAAATTGACCAAAGAGTCAAAAAGTGGCGAGGGGGAAAAAAGGAAGAGGGGGAGTAGCAGTTGGAGGGTGGCTTGTTGGCGGGCAGCGCCTCCAGCCCCCGCTGACCGATTGTTACCATTAGGATCTCGTGTTGTTATTACGTGCGATGACGCGCAAGAAATCGCCGGCCCCCGCCGCCCGGTCTGTCCCTCCCCTAGCCGTCCGCGCAGCCCGCCTGCACCGCACCGGCAAAACAAACAGCTGGCCCAAGTAGTTCAAATAACAATAACCGTGTTTGCTCCCCCAACCCCT